ATGCTTATGCACCACCTTTACCATGACACACTACCAAAACAACTTATCCAACTACATTGTGTAAATACTGACTGATTTGGTTTAAGCAGGTAGTATGAAAAAAAAAATTAAAAAAAAAAAGTTAAAAATTTTACTTAGGGACAATGCATGGCCTACAAGACATTTGGTGACAAAATGGGTCCTAATAAAAGGTTATTTTTAATGAGTAATACCTTATTCAGAACTGCAATATGGCATTTAAAATCTAATTAGTTTATCCCTTTCTCAACAGACAGAGGGAAAAAAAGAGATAAACTAGCAAGTGAGAAGAAAATAAAACAATATAAATTGGTGCAGAACTGGTAGAAATGAGAACTGTGTTCTTTCTGCTAAGAGTGCATTCATATTTGTCATATCTAAAGAGTACAAAAAGACAAGCAAAATGTGTAGTCTGAATTAATTACAGTAAAATTGCATTGAAGCAAGAAATCTTTGGAAGTGTTCATCCAAATAGAAGAGGAAAAAATATTAACAGGGGTGAAGGGGAAAAAAGGAGGCTCAAAAAGGACACATGCAAAAAACTGCCTGCCACGAACGACCAAGGAAACTATCCTGTCCGTGTTTCCTCTGGGTTGGATCTAGCAGGTTCACATTCAAAGGAGCCTTGGACTGAACCAATACCAACACTCTGGGGCCCCTCAGTGGAGAAGGTCCCAGAAAAGGCTTCAGATCCCAGTTTACAAGTGAATCCTGATGTTATTGCCTAAGTGGCTGTAGAGTTATTAGGAGTAGCCAGAAATCTTCAAAACCAGTCTTCAGAATGCTCAGCGTGCTTTTTGTTGGCTATGTAAAGAGCATAAACAACTTTGAGACATAATCATGGATTCCAGATGCAGTATGAGAAATAAAATGGACAACAGAAAAGCTGAAGAGGAACATATATGAATTTCTCAGGATCTCAGGGTTATAAGAGGCACAGCGTACTTCACAACTGAAGGTTGCCCATGGGCTCCAGTCCTCTGGAGCTTATATGTAGGCTGGGGTCTTTTCATGGACACTGAGTCTGAATGTGAAGAAATGTCTTGTCATTCTGTCCTTGGATTTCAATAGGGAAGCTATTACTGATACCTGATCATGGAACTCAGATAAAGCCCTGGATTTCTTGAAGGGGCTAAAATACTGTCAAGGGCTTGCCATATGTTATGTATAGGTGCTCACAGAAAAAGCAGGTCATATGACACATATCCACAGAAAAGCTGTTGGATCCTTTCGTCCTGAGACAGACCACCTTCCATTTTTTCAGACTTGAACTTACATAGTTGGATGGTGTCCAGGGAGATGGCCTCATAAAACAACTTAAGATTTTTTTTCTCAGAAAGAAGCTGATCACTCAGGCATAACCCCTGAAAATATTAAGAACTCAAGGGGGGTTTTTTTGTTTTGTTATTAAGGTTTTTTTTGTTTGGTTTGTGGTCTTTTTTGGGCAGGAGGGAGGTGTCATTGCTATTTTTTTAAGTGCTTAAACAATGGAATCGGACTTGCAGCATGAGCCACCGAGATTTCCCAGAGACAACTGGGAAATCTCGGCTATGCTGGCAGATTAACATTTACATGGCACATGACAGCACAGTGAGAAGTCACAGCATAACCCAAAGGCTGCATCTTTGGAGAACAATGACTAAGCTGCTATGAGCCATCTGAGTACAGATGGATCCATGCCATCAGTATGAGCTATTCCCAACTCCGACCTTGAGTTTCTTTATTGGGAAAGCTATTTAGCTTCTGTCACAGCTGAATAGGAATCCAAAAAAAGACATAAGCAACATGGCCAGTGAGGGGTGGGTGGCAGATGGGGACAGGTGAGGGAGGAGAAGGTGAACTCAGCTGTTTACATAATGGTAGAGATGCCACAAACCTGCACTTACCAACATGTTATCCAGTTCATTACAAACCCAAATATCTTTACATTTATATCTCACTCACTGCTTATTCCACTGTACAAGCAATCTGTCTTCAAAAAGAAAATAGTCACTGAAAATAAATGTGTTTTCTACAGGGAGTTTATTGCTGGCATCCATAATACAATATTTCATTTTCTATGGAACAGATTCTTATGCACAAGTTATTAATACCATTGAATCTAAGTGATCAACATATCCAACTCTAATGCTGTCCCAGTGATTAAAGCATACTGTTAGAATTTTACCCATACCAATAGTTTTTAAATGATACTTTGGATTTACAAATCCATGTACATTATGGATTATGTTAACAAGTATAGAATTTGTTAACAAGTACATACTTTTAAGAAAATGACTGAATTTTCCACTGATTTTGATTAAACTTGCTAGTGTGTCCAGAACAATAATTTCCAGTACATTATCTCAACTTCAGACACACAACAGTTCAAAGAACTAGAAGAGATTTGTTACACAAAATACAAACTGGTTGCAAACAGCACCTCTGAGCGTGGCCTTTCACAAAAGATTTCCTGATTAGCTACAGATTTTCATAATGACCACCCAAAACAAACAAAAAAAAAAAAACCACACAAAAAACCAAAACCAAAAACAAAAACAAAACAAAAAAAAAAAAAAAAAAAAAAAAAAAAAAAAAAAAAAAAAAAAAAAAAAAAAAACCAAAAAAAAAAAAAAAAAAAAAAAAAAAAAAAAACCAAAAAAAAAAAAAAAAAAAAAAAAAAAAAAAAACCAAAAAAAAAAAAAAAAAAAAAAAAAAAAAAAAACACCAAACCACGGATGAAAAAGCTCAGAAATAACTTTAAAATGCTGATCTTACCTTGTTTCATATATACAAGATTTTTACCAGTCCTAAGCAGCAGCTCCACAGGTAACTTCCAGAGAGCTTTCAATTCCTATGAACAACTGAACAACCAGCTAAACATTTATTTTTAACCATCGTTGTTTTCTCCAATACTACAACAACACCTGGAAGTCCAGACTGGCACACCATTTTTATGCAAGAGATGGCTACCAAAGTATCATTTGCAAGATCTCTGGTAACAACTCCCATAAAAATTTCTACATACATAAAATATGTAAGATTAGTTTTAGACATTAGTACAGTGGTTGGATTTATGAGCCACAAGAAGAAGGGCAGGAAGAAAAATGAAGAGAGAAAACCAAAGGGAAAGATATAGATTACATAGTCCTACCCCAAAGCAGGCTAGGATATATTTTTTTTTAATCCAATCTATACCATGACTAGCTTACAATATTCTGCTTATCATTCATACAACACAAGCCTTGTGCTGGACACAAATTCACTACAGTTCACTACAGCAGTTTCACAATAGCTGAGATTAAAGGTATTAAAATAGACCAGAATAAAATTCTGATTAAAAAAAAAACCAAACCACCAACTACTTCAGAGTGTTGTAGGTCAAAAAGTTGGAGGAGGTCAGTAAAGGAAGGCATTATTCCAACAATAAATTACCCTCTGAATGAAGAGATTAATTTGATGTTCAACATTTTTTCCTCTCATTTCTTCAGTAAATACTTTTATGACACATTTCTGTGTACACCCAGTAATTTCTACTCCAGTTTCACGTATCCCAGTTTGTATCCCATTGTATTTCAAGTCATTTTCCACATGAGAGGCAGTAGACATTCCAGACTCTAAAAGCAATGAATCTGCATGCCCATACATTCTTCAGACTGGGTTAGCTAAAAGCTAAAGCTCAATTCAGTTCTGCAAGGACTAAGATGATATCAAGTCTGTAGGGAACACTGCTTTTACTGCTAGTCCTGGCTGGTCAGAGTCCACTTTGCTACACTGGTTGTAAAGGTGAGTTCAGTTTGGAGAGCTTGAATCCTACACTCTACTACCCATGTGGGATGGCACGATTTGCCAGAAAATTGTAAGATATACTGCACAACTCTTACAGAAGAAGTTTCTGGACAGCGTGATTTCTATCCCATATAGAAGGAACACTCCCACTCCTTTCAACCAAGACCTTTGTGCATTCTGCTCAGATGCACTAGCTGTTTCAGGCTGGGAATTGTTCTTTAGATCTCAGAGTGTCTTCTTACCCAGCAATTCCTGCAGTGCTTATTTCCTACTTTTCCAATGCTTCCACTTGAGAATATTTACTCCTCAGTGACTCATTTTCCTAACCTCTAGGATAAGGTCGCTAAACTTCTTCTCTGTACCCATCATCTAAGTTTCCTGCTAAGTCCAGTAAAGGATTCCTCGGAATCCTTATCTCCTTAGTCTCTTCGCCTTCCCAAAACCTGCCTTTGACGACTTACAGGACACATTTCCTCCTTTGTTGCCCAACAATCCTTTCCTACTCCTTTCTCCTCTTCAGTTATCCCATTGGTATTCACTCCTCCCTGCCTTTCTGAACACCCTTCCTGCCAAATTTATCAGGAAAAAGCATTTATCATTCATCTTCCCAATCACGTCACCCTTCTTCTCTGTCTCGGTCAGTTTCCCTCTTTTCCTCCCCGATCTCTTTTTCTTCTCCTGAACCGCGCAAACCTTATTCTCACAATCTCCTCCGGCATCTGCCCTCCAGCTCCTTTTGTGCTCTCCACGGCACCTATCCTGCCCCGGCTCCTACCACTCATCCCGAAGCCTCCCTTGCCCGCCCATCCCATGCTGAGGCCGGCCCCAAACTCCATCCCCAGCAGGGAGCGATGAGCGGCGGTGCCAGCCCAGCCTAGTCCAGCCCAGCCCAATCCTGCCCAGCCCAGCCCAGCCGCCGACCCTGGAGCCGTGTCCCTCCGATAAAGCGCAGAGCTTTGGGGTCCGGGCGCCCTCCAGAGGCACCGCCGAGCCCTGCCCTGCCCTGCCCTGCCCGCCGGAGCCGGGGACACCCGGCAGGTGCAGTGAGGCAGGGTGCACTGGGGGCCGGGGGAGCCCGGCTACTTCCCCCGGCCGGGGAGCGCGGCCCGTCCACTGCTGCTCTGCGTCCGCTCGGCGGCCGGGGCGGAGAGAGGGAGGGCACAGCTCGTCTCCCGCCCCCTGCTCGCCTTCTCCTTCTTCTCCTCCTCCTCCTCCTGGCGCCCGCCCTCTGTTCCTCCTTCCCTCCCTGCAGCGCCGGCGAGACCGCGAGAGCGGCGCCCGCCCCGCCAGGGCGAGGGAAGCAGGCGCAGCCCGCGGGCAGGAAGCTGGATGAGGACGTGTGTGCGGGCAAGGCAGCCCCTCGGGCATGAAGGGGACCGCGGGGACGCTGCCCTGCCCTGCAGCCGAGCGGGGACATCAGGTAAGCGCCCCACACGCCTGCCCGGCCCGACCGGAGCCGACACACTTCCAGTGCCGGGAGAGGGCAAGCGTCCCCTGGAAAGTTGTCCTGCCGCCGCCGGCCGAGGGGCGAAGGGCAGGGGAGGCGGGCGGGAGGCAGCCCGCGGTGTAGGGTGGCACATCGGGGTGTTCGGCGGGAGCCGCTGGGAGCTCCGGTCCCCCGGCGCGGTGCCCGGGGCTGTGCCGCCCCGCCGGGCGAGGCGCGCAGCGCTGGGAGTGCGGCCCCGGCGTCCCGCGGCCCCAGCGGCTCGGCACTGGTGTCAGCGGCCGTGCCGCGCCCCGCGGAAAGTTTCCAGCGGGATGAGGGCAGAGAGAAGCGGGAGAGGATCACCGCGGGACGGGAGCGTGGCGAGGGCGAAGCAGCCTGTCTGTGTTGCCGTGGGCAGTGGGCGCCGCAGCTTTCCCCGGGCGGCAGGAGCGGTGCTGCCAGCAGTTCGCTCAACTAGTTTCGTTGTTTTCACTCTGGTTTGTTGCAGAGGAGTAGGATCAAGTATCCCTGCAAGTGTAATGTCGACATCTTTGATGGCTATATCTTACTCTTCTGTGAAATTTACCTACTTGCTTGTGTCAGTTTAGGTATGTTTAGGAAAAACAGACTGCAAAGTCTTACCAGAAAGGGATGCGCAGCAGTACGCCTGAGACTTCAGTAGGTTTGTTATGTTGTATGACGTAACAGTAAATGCAACTGCTGCTCTTTTTGATTCACATTTCGTTGGGGCTTTTTAACTGAACATTTGTGGATTAAGCAGAAACTTTGAGTAAAATGTGTGAATCATCATAACGCTGTTGGAGATCAAATCCCAGTTTAAATGTTTTGCAATTATTTTCTTCCCCCTTTGCTCATAATTCATATAAAGGACAGACTCAAATAGTTTGCTTAGTTCTTCTGAAGTAACTTAAGGAATCAAAAGTGAGCAGAGTTCCACACAGAGATTGTAGATATCTTTGCAGCAAAGCAGAAAAACAACAGTGAACCACTTTAAAGAAAAATAGCTAATCAAAAAAAATCTGTACCTTGGGAAGCCTCTTTTCCTCCCATCCTGAACAAAGATGTGTGCATTGCAAACTGCACTGAGAGTGGAAGGATTCAGGCCATTCCAAATGAGGCAGTTTCCCCTTACAGAGAATGTTCTGCACTAACTTGCTTGGTTAATCAGAGACAGTCTACCTTAACTATCAGCTGCAGTTCTGTTTTACTTACACGTTTTCAAACACCATGGTAATTCCACAATATTTGTTGCAAAATCTAAATGAAAAACTTAAGAGCAATGAGCCTAATTTCATTAGATCAAAGAAGTATGAGTAGCTTTTTGGTTTGGTGGTTTATTTTCTTGGTTTTGAGGGGGGTTTTTTGGTTGGTTGGTTTTTAATAGAACAAATTTGAAACCAGATTTAGGGGAGCATTCAAAAGTAGCCTAGATTTCACAATGTACATCTGTTGGTGCAGGTAATGCCTGGTTGTTGAACATTGTTAAGGCATCATACTTCAGGTAATTTTCAGGTTGGGACTTTTCTTAATAGGCACATGGATATATCTCTTAAGAAGGTCTATCACAGTTAATGACCCAATGCTGCTCTAAGACTTTACATGGGTTCAGGCTTTTATTAATGGACTTTTATATTGCATTAAGCTGAGAGAGGGCTGAGGAAATAGAAGAATAGACATATAAAACTTGAAATGCTTCCCACTTTTCTGCATTTTGTTCACTGGTTTTGTTTTCTGATATTTTATTTTTCATTGTCAGCTTCAAATATAACAACTCTAGGCTTCCATGCAAGCAGCAGGTTTTATTAAACATATGATACAATTTTCTATTGTAAAATGTTCTGTAGTTCTTACTTCCTTGGAAAGATAAGATATGACTAGGGAATTATCATTTTTCTTGACAGCATGACAGTTAAAACTTGGTTTGCATAGGAGTGAGCATGTGTAATATATTAAAAGAAGATGTCATTCTGAACTGTGACAAACTTTTCAACGTGTTTTTTTTTATATGGAGGTGACTATATTGCTTGTAAAATCACTACTGGGATGTAACTAAGATGTAAGGATGAATTGATGTAGTGATGTTGGGTCAAACTTAGGATTTTTTGTATAGTTTTAATATTTAGAAGTCTATGGATTTAGTGCTCAGTTCTGTAACCAGATATTTGAATTAATTTTATTCATATCAGCATCTTAGTTAAATTCACACAGAAGTACTGGTACTTAAGTTATGCAGAGGTAGAATATGGATAGAATATACTGAAGCAAAATGCTTTGTTTGCTAATAAGATACCTGTTCTGATAACATGTCCAAATTGTATATAGGGATTGCTGTCAAAAGCTGAGCTCATGTTAAATGTGGCTGGGTGTCCAACAAATGTTTTTTTACAGAGTGTAAAATCTTAAGCAATGAAAATGGCCAGGTGAAGCAAGGGGAGCATATGAAATGCCATTAAAGTATGGAACCATGGGAAGTTAGGGAAAAAAGGGAGAAATTTAGGGGTTGGGGTTTTATTTGCTGTGATTTTTTGGTTTGGTTGGTTATTTTTTTAATACGAACATTTGCTCTAAAAAAATAGAGTTACCTCTTTTGAAGGTAATGCACACCTTAAAGATTTTGGGTAAAGGTGTACACAAAGAAACAGGTGAGGTACCTGAAAACTGTGGTTGCATATACAGCTTTTTTTCTTACAGTTCTGCTTGCAGACCTTGTACTGCTATATTTAAAGGCAACTCTTGAGCTGTAATAGAAAACTTTTTACTTGGTTGTTAAACTCATCTGGTGTGGTTGGAGTAGATAATACCATTGTAAAACTAGTTAATTGTGTTTAGTGTTTTTACAGAAGCCAGAAACTGATAAAAAGTGGAATACACTGGCTAAAGAAAATTGCATCTTAGTTACAAGTTGAATTCCCAGGCGCTGAAAAGTACATATGATAAACCTGTAAAAAGAAAGGGCTAGATTTAGGGAAAGGATTCCTTGTGGTCACTACAAACAAGTAATATTCCTGCAGAATGAGCTTTCACTTTGCCTGCACATTCTGAGTGTTGGTTTCCTCTCAACTGAAAGACTCCTGATTATTTAATTTTTGCTCTCTTTGTCACCTTTTTTAGACTTCTGGTAGTTAGTATTTTCTGCTGAATTCCTCTAATTTCTTCCTTTATTCCGTAGGTAGAGAATGTTCTGTATGGAAATTACAGCTGTAGCCTTACCAACAAGTAAACTGTAAAGATTAGCTTCAGTTCAAGGTAGCATGTTATCTTTTATGTAAGAATATGGTATTGCTCATCATTTTTACTCATGGTAACTCTAACCAGCAAAATACCAGAGCAGGTACACACTGCGCGTCCTCATCCAGTATTTCCTCACCTGATTATTTTCAGTTAAGCCATTTACAATTCTTTAGTAACATCTTAATTTTCGCCTAGATCATGTTTTCAGTTTAATATCATTATTCTGAGTTTTAGTCCTGTATACCAAGATTTCTAGTCCTGGCTTCTAGATCTCCTTGGCCTAATGTCATGCTTAGATGTAAAAACTATACTCTGTCACTTCTTATTAATAAAGTGATTAATAAGAATCAGGAAATCAGGAAAGACTAGGGGAGCCTTCTCTTAATACGGTAATGTAACCTGTTTCTTAATTAACCAATATAAGGGGTTTCAGTCCATAGGTATTATAAGAGGGTATAAATATGGGTATTATTGTCTTTTAGAAACTACTATGAAGGCCAAAGCAGGAGTAGTATGTATTTGTTTAAGAAAGGTTTTGTTGCAAAGCATCACAGCTTTAAAGGAAAGAAAGTGCCTTTTAATTTAGAAATTCTTTTAAATACAATAGTTTTACTGAGCAACCAAATACCTTTAACTGAATGTCAGGTGAAAATACTCCTGGGCAGTGTCCCTTGCAGTCGTGTCATGTATCCTATTTGTCATTAAAATGCTGTACACAAACCTCATGAAAATTAACAAGGTAACATAAGTTCTTGTTTTTGACAATTATATGTAGTAAATAACTTTAGTTACCAAAAAATGGGGAATAATATGTCAAATTATTGAGCTGCTTGATTAACTGCTATGTTTTAGATAATTTCTAAGGGTCATTCAAGTTTCACATTTATACATATTTATGAAAACATTAGAGGAAAACTAAAATAGTGTTAGGAAAACTGATGTTCTTTTAGAGGCATATGGCATTGAAAACCTTAATAGTCTTTCATGAAATTGCCATAATATAAAATTTGTTGTTATATTTTCCTGTTTTCTACAAATATGTAGAGTCTTAGGTTTAACAGAGTGATTCTGAACATCTAATTATTTTTTTTCCACTTCGCTGAATTGACTCACTGTGATGTTCCAAATTAATATATTTGTCAATATTGCTGTCAAGTCACATTACGTGTATCAACCTCTGAAACTGAAGAATTACTTTTGGAAACTTCAATATATGTGAGTCATACAAAAGTACCTAAATAAATTCCTTGCTTGTGGTTGTGCATTAAGCATTCTATACTTCTGAGAATGTATTTATTATAAATAATTCTGAAAGCTTCATAATATCATGTCTGTATAAACCTGGAGAGATAACTTCTATTTGTTTTCTAAGAGTAGCACTCTGGAATTTGGATTTTGTGTATTGAACACCCTTGCTGTTATCAAAGATACTGTAAAAACATGTTTTTCTATGTTGCAGAAAGGTAGATTGCTTTTAGAGTTTTGAGAAAAAAGTTCCAATATTCAAGAAATTGCACAATGTACACCGAAAACCCTGTTCATTAATCTAAAAATTACACAATAACATATATATATTGATTCTAAACCAGCAATTTATTTTATTTCAGAAACAAGGAATTTTTGTCCATAACTATCTATCACTTTCCACAAATTGTTTATTTGCTAATGAGGAATTGTAAGCTAATGTGCAACATTATTTGAGAAAAATCATAAAATGATACTGGTTCCCTGACTTGATTTTC